TACAGTGAGGCAAATGTCTCCTGATAGATGCTCTCAGTGTGTGCATGTGTATGAAAAGAAGTTTATGTCTGGTCTTTATAGGCCCTGTGAGCTGTTATTGTTTTTAAAGAAACCCACAAACCAACTAAAGCAAAGAAATGTGAACTACAGTGCTTCAATCCATCTTGAAAGAGGCAAATATGTGTCCATCTGAATGATCTTATTATTCCCCCAAAGGGAGATGGACAGATTGCCTTTTAGAGGCTACTGATATGAATTAATATTTCAAGCTTACATCCTAAGCCCATATCGAGAGGTTTTAGTTTAACCAGGTACTTCAATGGCTTGAAATTAATTCAGTTTATGGAGGTAGAAGTACTCCCTTTGCACAGGCACATTTTCTCCACCATCAGTTTCTCATAAATATCTCAAGTGACAGATTTAGCTTTTACATTTTGGGGGCTTTCTTTCAGTCAAACTGTATGATTGATTATACTTAAAACTAAGACCCTAACCTCTAAACCTTTTACCATTTATGCAGCGTTGGTTCCTACCCTTGCTCTCTTCTAAATTTGTTGCACTGAGCCAGTAAGTGTTATTTGTAGTGTTATTGAAATGAGTCACGTAACCCTGGACTGATCATTCTGTTAAAACTGAGGGTGTAATTAGTCTGAATTAACTTTGGTGTCCACAGCATTTTGGCCAAAAGGGAGGATAAACCAGAATAAGAAGGCAACAGTGACAGATTAAAGAATGCAAAGGCTAAACGGGAGTTTTAAGAAGGAAGAAAGATGTTTCTGTGTGTTTGTGCGTGGAAGGGGGTGTGCGTCTGTGAGAGGATCATAGGCTGGTTATGACACTTGATGTAAGTCTGTGTGACAGCAGCCGACTCACTAGCTGATAAAGTATTTGGAAAGAAGTGACTTATGTACGCTTGCGCACACACCTTTTTACAACAGGAGGCTGACAGAAAGGAGCACTGGACCGAGAAGTAACCCGACGCGCAGTTAGACAGCAACCTGGACATTGTCGGATCATGTGTTTTTTTTATTTAGTTTTCTTTGCGGAGCATGTTTATCTCATGGGTTTGGAACACTGCAGAACAGTAGATTGTCCTCACTGAAAAATGTCTGTAGTTTTTCCGCTGGGGATCCATTTAATTTAATATTTCAAAGCCTAAAGAAGAAATAAGACTTACTGTCAAATAGGGACAAACAACAGAACTCCAAGCAACACCGTGTGGTTGTAAATTCAGGCACATCAAAGGAAATCATTATAAGGGCTCGTGTAAAATTGTCTAAAAGATAATAGCAAAAAAATAAAAGAAGAAGAAGAAGAAATAGACACTTGATCTGGTAGAATTTTAAATATTTTGCTTTTCCTCTGTCAAGGTCCCTGCAGTCTGGGTTCCTTAATGTAATTTTATATATCCAAAACACTCCCATCCATCTTTTCTTCAGGCGTGACAGTGCTGCTGTCAGCGTTGGTACGTCGGTCATATTTTCCCTTTCTTCACACACTTTACAGAAAAAACTCCCTAAAATTACGATAACAGGTTGTAAACCTCAGGCGATTACTCCTTGGTAATAATGCGATGCTGACCAAATAATGATTGGTTAAAGACAAACAACAAAAATCTAAGTTTTGTTCTGAATTCACACGAACTGTGGCAACCATTAAAATGGCATCCAGGAGGGTGCAGGTTTTGCTGTCAAAAGAACGTATTCTAGCCTTGACTTTGATTATTGTCTAACTTTAATTAAGTGACATTTCTGTTGAAACTGTGTTGCCATTCGTTTTGTCTTAAAGTTTTCGTAAAGAAAGACCTGACATTTGAAGATTTTATGCAGTTTGAAAAAAGGAAATCTGTGTTGAGGGAATTCGTGAGCTGCGTTCAACTTTACATTGCGGAATTTATCAGTTGTTTTTTAAGGATTTAAAATATAAACGTCATGCTTGCGTCTATTTCTTTGCTCAGATGTAGATGCTATACCCGCATTCACATGGACAAACATTTATTGATCTGATTATACATGTCCTAAAATTAGATTCCAGCTGGTTTTTACTTAGAAACAAAGTGGCTTGATGAGTTTGGACTTCTCGTGCAGGCAAGATAGTCCTGGACAAAGTCCATTAGCAAAGCACTGAGAAAATATGAAAAAAGAAGATAGAGGCATTTAGTTTTCATAATTTAACTGCTAAAATTATTTTAAATCAGGAGAAGAAAACAACTGAGAAACTCTGAACCCTTGTAGCAGGTTCTTTTTTGTCTTCTGGTACTCTGCCTCTGTACGTGAATGTGTGCCTCGACACCGTAATTAAGAAATTGTGGAGTTTGCAGTTTACACACACGGTCATTGAGACGCACCTGAAGCTCAAACACACTGGTCTTAATGACTTTGTGCTCAGCTTATCTTTAATAATAAGTAATTGAGAGTCACGATGAAGTACACAAACGCACCTACATTTTAATGAGGGTGCACATGGGCTTCTGTAAGTGTGTGTGTGTGTTTGTGTGTGTGAGTGAGCGTCAACATGTGCTTTTAAATGTGTTTCTTATTGGAAAGTAGTTTCAATACTAGCAAGAGAGAAATAAAAGCACCTACTGACCTACAGTTGGATTCCTCAGGGTGCTTGCCTGTGTGGTTTTGTTAGTTTTGTGTTTCATGGAGTAAAGCTGTGGGGTGTTCCATACATCAGAACGGTTCGATTCAAATCGGTTCATTTAAAAGGCAGGAGGTAGAATGAAGGTCCCTGTCACCAAACACAAGGCAGCTCTGGTTGGTGGTGCATTGCATGTCAACTCTGACTCTGCTTATACCAATAAAACCACAACATTTGTCATTTGGACAGAAAGACGCTAAAGAGGAACCATTTATGAGTCAGAAAAGTTTGGTGTTGAATAAAAGAGAGTCAAAGTCCAGACCTCATCGACCAGGTGAAAATGCTCTGAAGACACCTTAAGAAAGCTCTGCATGAAGAAATGTTGGACCCCAGTCAACTGAGACAACATAAAGCAGAGTGGGCCAAAACTCCTCTACTACTCTGTGACCGGATCATCTTAATTATATTCTGATACAAAGAATCTCGGGCTTGAAATAGACCTTCTTCCCCCCTTTTGATTTTGCAACATGGCAGTATATCTTTGTATAAAGACTTTGAAAATAATTTCCTGATCTAAAAAAGGACTCGGATGTGACCGTCTATCCGCGACTGCACGAGCTGGATGAATCAATTTATGAATGATTCCATGAGTGTGGGTACTGGAAAGAGCCCCTTCAAGTGCAAAGAAGCTATTAGGTTGAGTCATTCATTTGTTTGCTGCCAGCCTCTATCCTCTCGTTCCTCTCTAATTCTCCTCTGTCATTTTGCGACCAAACCTCTTTCAACCCACACTTCCCTTCTCTCTCTCTCTCTCTCTCTCTCTCTCCCTCTCTCTCTCTGTGTCCTTCCTCGTCCCTCTCACCCTCCACCCTCACCTCCATCCCTCCTCAGCCGGGCTCTCTTTCATTGCCCCCGTGGTGCTGACCATGTGTGAATGGGCCTGAGTGATGGGTGGGAGGCCGCCGCACATGTGCGTGACACACATAGACAACCAAGCGGGGGAGGCGTGTGTGCGCTGAGGGGGAATGAGTCACTCTGCCCGACACGCAGTATGCTCGTAGGAGACTGCATTCTTAATAGAACACAAATGCACACACACTCTCATACGTACAAACATGCCCTCATAAAAAATCCAGATACAAAAGGCTTTTACTTACATGCATGATTGATGGTGTTCATGTATCATTTTAATGAGCTCGGTTTGTGTTTGCACTCTTGTCTGTCGTTAAGTGGCCGTGTGTGCGCGCGCGCGCGTGTGTGTGTGTGTGTTTGTCCTTAATGTGCTAACTTAGTATGTGTGTGAGTGTGTGCCGGGTCTGATAAGGCTTTTCATTAGTGTTTCCCGTATATAGCCTAAAGGCTACAGCTCTGTCTTGTGTCATCTCTGTCTCTGGCGGTGCTCGATCTTCCAGTTCTGATGTGTTCTCGTGTCTTTTGGTGTGGATGTGGACACATTCAGTGGTTCCAACACAAAATGTCTGAATTACAGCTAAAGCGCCCGCTGGCATTTGTATCACTTTAGGAAACATTGCCGGAATTACAGTTATCAATAAAATATTTCATGAAGTATTAGAAGACACTTTTAAAGAAAGGGGCCCAGACGTGAAGGAGAGACAAAGATTAGACCTCTGAAGTATCTTCTAAAAACAGAATTCTCATTACTTGCTCCACCCAATTGAGATGGCACAATCCCACTTTTGGGATTCCCTTTTTTTTTTTATATCAATTCAACTCAAAAGACGTCTAGTTTGGACTATGCAGCTTGTTAATTTGATCCGGCCGAACAGAACAAGCCAACCTTTTTCTCGGGGAGGTTATTAGATGGGTTGGACTTTTGGGCCAATTGCTGCCGTTTTCACTCACCTTTACTAAAAGAAGAGAGGGCAAATCGTTTGGTGACAAGTTTTTGTTTAGTCTTCCTAATATAGAGTCCTGCTCGCTTTAGTGGTCCACCCCCATTTGAAGTGAGCAGCCTACAGGCTACAATTACAGGCACCGGCAGAGGCCTCAGCCAGCCCATCTGAAGTTTAAGGTTACTGAACAAGATCCCATAGGCGAAGCAGAGGGATAGAGGCGTATGACGCTCAGTGTGAGACCAAACCGAACACACAACACACAACTAACCCAGTGCTCCACACAAACATCTCCCCTCTGTTACCTCCAATCCTGTCACAGGACAAGTAACATTAGGACTCCTCCAGCTGGCACTTAATGGCTTCTGCTGCCATAAGAATGATCCACGTTATTTGGATTGCATTTTGCTGCGATATTGAACACATTCATATATTACTTGAAGATTTCGTTTCAAACTTGTTACCGCACGACGTAACTGGGTGCAGAAGAAATGAAGCCTCTGTGTTTGTTTTTGAGCGATATGAAAATGAGGGTCTGACCTGACTTGCGTTTCTCCTCTGCAGGAACCTTCAGAGGCGTGTGTAAGAAGATTGACCATTTCCCAGAGGATGCAGACTATGAAGCAGATGCTGCTGAATATCTCCTCCGTAAGTGACACAGCCACTCACTCTAAACGCTACATTTTTTACAGAAGAGGGATTAGAGACCGGATATCCTTATTCCAAACTTTTCTCTTGAGTCAACATGGCAAATGTTTGCTGTTAACCTTTCAGAGTGCACATAGTTGTCCAAACAATAAACCCAGTTAAATTGTTGAAAGGTTAGTCCTGTGGCTCAGTTTAGTGATCTCTGTTTAATCTTGGAGTTTCCTTTTGATCCACTTACATATGATGCTAGTCAGGTATTTTTATTGATCAAAGGCTGTCATCAAATCTCCCTGCATGAAAAACTTGATATGTTGTCAATCCATAAGAGAAATAAGCTCTGTATAAATCTGGGGAACATCCAGGTAGTCCACATGTCAAGTGAGACCAGCCTCTTCCTCAAACACGTGGGCTGCTTCTCAAGACTAATGGTTGACTAGTCTCACTCAATGAAGAAAATCTGCTAATTCATCTCCACCAGCCGAACACCTGTTGGAGATGTGTGTAATATAAAACTCTATTCTGATTGGGCATACACTTTACTGTTTTTTTTTATTGAAACGGCCATGCAAACGCACCGACATCATAGGATGCTGGCGAAAAGATCCCGTCTGGTTTGATTTAGCATTAAAAAAACCTTCAATATCAAACAGAGTTGAAATAGATGCAGAAAGCAAACTGCAACAAAAGAATGAGAAAATGGATTCGGTTTGAGCTCCCTTTTTTTATTGCTCCACTGAGCACAAAGCCGCGTTCCCTAAGGCGGCCAGTCAGATCACAGGATTCAGGGTCGATCAGCCAATAAGAGGCGGGGACCCAGTGACCGGCATTTCATACAACCCCGGGGTGTGGGACAGGAGGGCGGGCTCAGGCCGCGCCACGAGTCCAGCAGCCCGTCGCCGTGGAGATGTTCCCAGCAGATCCACGTTCAGAAACTCAAATGAAGAAGAGAAAAAAGAAGAATTGGCCGGCTCACCGAAACCATTTGCAAAGCCGCACCTGCGATGCAAAAAGAACAAAAAAATAGAAAAAGATACACTTTCTCTGCATGTCTAAAAATACAGCGCGGCTGATTTCTGCATGAGATACCGCAAAGCTGTCCGCAAATACCCTCCAATGTGTTCTCCCATCATGCTCGCATATGGGTCTCTGAAAAAATATTTCACCCCTGCCGAGGCCTCGCTCTCACATTCATCATCTCTGTTAGTCATTATTTCGCTGTGCATATGTCAGTGTGACTCTCCATCTGTCTTGGTTCTGGGCCGTCTCCCGCCTCTCCGTCCGCCCCCCCCGCTCCTGCCCCGGCATCTGTGGCCGGGCCCCTGGACGCTTTAGCATGTTGGGAGAGTGCCGGCCCGCTCAGGCGTGCGGCGGGGCGCTGCAAACATGCGTGTGTCCGGCCTACGTGCGAAGCGGCGCGGTTTGTGGTTCTTTTAGCGCCGTTCTCGACTCAGTGACTCTGAGAGAAAATGGCCGCAACGCTCAGGCGGCGTTCTCTGTGATTTAAAGTTTCTGGTTGAGCTGCGGTTCAGCCGTGTTTTAATATTAACTTTGACTACTTAGGCCAAAAGACAGGTGCAGTGTACGAACGATGAATGATTACAGTTTGTCAAATAATGCATAAGCGAATTTGGACACTCACTCCTCTTAGAAGTTGAAAGTTCATATTTTAAAAGTTCAGAAATTGTGTCTGAAAGGCAGCAGTTTCATGGCGTCAAAACTCTGCATTTAAGTTGTCAACTTTTCCCTCTTTCGCTCATCCTTCTTCCTCCCTGTTTGTGCCCAGGTGCTGTCCGTGCCTCCAGTATCTTCCCCATCATGAGTGTCGGGCTCCTGTTCCTGGGGGGGCTCTGTGTGGCCGCCAGTGAGTTTTACCGGAGCAGACACAACGTCATCCTGAGCGCAGGAATCTTCTTCGTATCTGCAGGTTAGTCACCGTGTCTGTGTGTGTGTGTTTGTGTGTGAGTCCGTGTTCCGTGCCCCCCCCCCCCCGTTAGAGCGGAGCTCTAGTGATTATCTGTCATCTGTGGCTTCCAGGTACATGAAGAACAAAGGCTTTTTTTGTTTGTTTTGCAGAGACACTGCGCTGACCGAGTCAACTCACTGTGCAGCAATCACATTTTCTTGCATGCTATTCCACACAATATCCTCCCCGACAGCTTCATGCCGTTTGTCAACACTGATCGGAGTGATGAATGACTAAAACGCTTCCTTACTCTTTGTGCTGCATTTCCCATTTTGGGATTGCTCAAGTATGATTAAATCATATTTCACTGGATTAATAAGATTAGAAATTCATATTTTCTGCTAGTTTTTGTGTTATTTGCCCAGGCTGTCACACTCTCCCCTGATTTCAAGATTTAGTCTTCTTTTTTTCTTCTGAGATATTTTGTTTTCAGAAACTTTTGACTTCATGGTTCCTTTCACCTCTTGATATTTTTTTTTCCTGTAAGTGATCCCATGGTGAGATCATCTGGATGTCTCACCTCTTAAAACTCATCTGGAGAGCAGATGATCATCCTTTGCAAGTTTTTTATGGGACGTTAAAGGGTTTGGCATGCCCTTCCAATTAAAAGGATGACATTAAGTCGGCTATTATAAATCTGTTGTCTCATCTCACTTCTTATCATGAGTTTTTCCAAACTCCTCTGCCCAAATCTCAAGGAGGAATTATTAAAATATCAGGAGAGGAGATGAGGATAGTAATTGAGGATATTCAACCAGAGATGATGGAAAAGGAAATGTGTGAAGATTGATCGAACTGGAAAATGGAGAGAAAATAAAGCAATACTCAACATTCAGTAGAAAATCAGATATTAATTTCATAAGAAAGTGAAACGGAATGCCTGTGACAGAATGAAGACCAACACTGCTGATGAGCGTAAGTTGCTCATAGAAAAGCGACGTAGACAACTTAGTATTTACATTTTCTACCTTAGAAAATGGCCTACGGGCAGTAAGTTGAAATGGTTCCACTCTGAATTGGAAATTTAGCTTTAAAAAATCTTTAGCCAAAATTTGTAGCATATGCATCCAGAATTCACCCATGTTGAATTCTTCTAGCCTCTTTAGTTACCCTCCTTACAACACCACCTGCTGGTGTGCAGAAGCCCTGTGAGAAATGATAGGATACCACGGTGTACTGGACCATGTTTTTTTCTAGTCATTATCGCTAGATGCTAGCTAATATGTGAGACTTTTGTGTTTCTGTTTATGATTTGATATATGCAGGTTAAAGTTGTTTTACTGATTCTGTGATAAACAGTTCAATCACTCTTCTGAAATATATTTCTGAAAAATAAGTTTGAAAGGCCCTGTAACACAAGACCTTGAAGGAGAGTACAAGTCTTACTGTTTTATCATGACAAAGGCCTTTTCCTCATCCCACCTTGTTCACTTTCTTTCTCTCTCTTTCAGGCCTCAGTAACATCATTGGAATTATTGTATATATCTCTGCCAATTCTGGCGATCCGGGTCAAAGTGACAGCAAGAAGTCCTACTCGTACGGCTGGTCGTTCTACTTCGGGGCCCTCTCCTTCATCATGGCAGAAATGGTTGGTGTTCTGGCGGTGCACATGTTCATTGAGAAGCACCGCAAGCTGCGAGCTAAGTCCCGCACCGAGCTCATAAAGAAATCTGCCTTCAGTCGCATCCCCTCCTACCGCTACCGCTTCCGGCGCCGCTCCAGCGTGCGTTCCTCCGAGGCCCCCAGCCGCGACGCCTCGCCCCTGGGGAAGGGCGGCTACACGGGGCCCGCCGCCTCCGAGATGCCCATGTACACGCTGAACCCCCGAGAGGCGGGCAACGCCGGCACCAAAGCAGGTAGTGGCATGGGTGGCCTGCTCAACTCAGAGAGGGAGTTCCTCCAGAGCAGCACGCTCACTAAAGACTACAGCAAGGACCCCAACCGCAGGACCACCCCCGTCTGAGAGGACCGGGTGTAGATACCGTCCGATCAAAGAAGAGGAGGAGGAAATATCGGGGTGGGAACGCGAACAGACACGGGATGTTCAGAGTAACGTGGGCGGGAAGGGGCTTGATAAACTACAACACGAATTGTGAACTTTTAGATTTTGAACTGTGAATCCTGAGCCCTGTGAGTTGTTTCAGTGTGTGTAGCAGGACTGGGTTTGGATGGAGAAGTTGTTCCCAAGTCCACTCCACCACATATCACTAGTTATATTTGTAATTCCTTAATAGGGTATGGAGCCAACCTACAATTTATGTTCTTGACTTGTAAGTCCATAAATGTACTTCCTGAGATTTTCAGAAAGGCGGAACTGCTATAGTTAGCAGTTTCTTGTTCGGGGCAACTTCTCCTGAAAGATAAAAAATAATGTGAATTTGAGGAGGAAAAGAACGAAGTGACAAACTTAGTGTGAGCTTCAATCTTTTGACTTCTCTTCTTCTGACCTTTTGGATTGCAGCTGGGTTGAATCAATGAAGGGAACGTCCGTAGACCTCCAAGCTAAATCTTTGAATATGATACTATTTAAAAGTGAGGAAGTTAACACCTTCGCCTAAGGAACGACTAGTTTTCAGTTCAGATAATAATGTGACACCACAATTAGTCCATTCATGGGACCACATCTATGGCATCCCTTATTTTTCTATACATATTTTAGATGAACTGCGGTCACATTGATTGATTTTACCAGATAAAACACTAGTGGATCTCTGAACTGAAAACTGAAACTTATTCCTGAATATATTTACTCTCAACTCCCTGATCCCAGGTCAGTTGTTAAACCTGCATAGTGCTTGTTAGTGCCCTGACTGCAGATCAGCTGTTGGAAGTTGAGTAGGAAAGGGGTGTCTAAACAAAACTAATGAATCTCTTTTAGATAGTATTGTTTGATCCATTGGTGCTTCCTTATACCTGTATTTTTCTGCCACTTTTTGGTGTTTTCATTTCTACCTAAAAACTTGAGATGGTCAAATATTTTCTCTCTCTCTCTCTCTCTCTCTGTCCGATTTCTGTCATGACTCACCTCTCGCCTTCCATGTTTTTCCATGTAGCCCCATACCACAGGTCACTTCTGCACACCGTCACGCACCCTGTCACCCCATCTCTCCTATCCTTGAAAAGCACTCGCAACTAGAGTTAGGTCCTGTCTTCCGTTGGTGTCCCTTGTAGAAGAGTTAGGTTTTTTCTGGAGGTTATTGGTTCAGGGTGTGGCGTGGAGGAGACCGCTGAGCTGTGAATTCGCTTTAAGGCAGTGCCATAACGACATTTAACGAACTAGAGGTGGACTTGTCCTGTTTGCCCACTACCTCTTGGTGAACATCTTTTAGATTGATTTAAAATCAAGCTGTCTTTAATTGTCAGAACAACTGTTAAACCTTCAAGTGCAGTATTAAACACTTAGAAAATGCTTTTTTCAGTTGAAGAGCACATCTCTCCAATGGACTACCCGCTCGCATGGGATTCACAATCTACATATAAGTTGCCAAATAGAATTGGATGGAGGAAATCCATCGCTAATCATGGCCTCGTTCATGTAAAGAACCACTCACAGTCTTCTATGTGTTTACATCTATATGATTAGAAACACAACCATTTATGGGCCTAAAGATATATTTGCCAGTGTCTCCCAGCCATGCCGTGCACAGATGGACAGGGTCCAATCATATCGCCACAGTTCTTATAGTGAAATATAGTGTCCCTTTCTACCAAAATGGGATGTGGTGTGAAATGTAAATACAAATATGTGGTGTTTGTACTACTCTATTATCAGTTGAAGGTTTAGATCATTTTCAAATTCTACAATATGTTGTTGTTTACATTCATCATGGCATTCCAACCTTCTTTCCCAAACAAAGATGTAGATCTGACTCATAGATGTGTAGTCCTTACAAAACTTGAATTTCGCTGTGAAATCATCAAGCCATTTTTAACCAGGAGATATACCAGACCACCTTGATTTCATGCGCTGTGAATTAATTGTATTACTAGGGATGTAATGATGCCATTGAAGCTCAACGTAGCTTTAGTTTATCGTTCTTTTCATGTATTATTACAAATTATGTTCATGTTGCCTCCCCAAAAATTGGAAATCTATCACTGCCTTAGTTGATTTTTTGCATAGATGAATACACTAAAAGGTGTGTGGCCCACCAGCACAAAGAAAAACCCCCACCACTACTACAAAAGTAAAGCAAGAAAAAAAGTCACGTCTGTATTAAGAGACTGAACTGAATTTATGACAGAGGAGCAAACTACACATCAGTATGTGCATAAACCCACATACTCAAGGAGAACAGTTTGGGGGGAAAATGAGGAGAAGCCATAAAAGGGGAGGGACTGTTACAGATAGAGCCTGAGAAACAAGCAGGAAGGGGAAAAAAAAGACAGCATTTTTTTAAATTCAACCTTTATCCTGAACTGTGAATAACAAGTGAAGCTCAAAGAGGTAAAATCCTATTTTTTATTCTTGACCTCCCTAAGCCATCATTGCACTGTTTTGTGTAGCCTAAACATGAAACAACATGGAGCTGATACTTCCACGCTCTGTTCTGACAGTTATTGCCCTGATAATAAAAGACGTTCTAAACCTTAGTCACACTGTTTAATTTATGATGCTGCTGTTTTATCTCCTGTCTTTTACGCCATAAAGGGAACATAAAGGGACAAGCGTGCATCATGATGGAATTGCTCGTGCTGTCCTCCGTGTGTAAATATTAATTTTGCAAGCTAACAACGACATCAGCCGCTGTCACGGGCCGGGGGGGAGGGGGGCCAACCTCTTTTCTCCAAGCAAGGGCTTTTAATTTTTAAAGGACAGGAGCACACAAGGGCTTTTTATGCTCAGCATTGCAGCAGTGACGTTTTAAGGGTGTCATGTTAGAGAGAAGGAGGAAAAGGCAAAGTACATTTGCACAGAAACAATGTTGTTGTTTTTTCCTTTCTAAAAAAAAAAAGACCAGCTCCACAGCTAACCAATATTGTAGAGTGCTTCATTCAAAAAAGAGGCAGGAGAAGAGAAAACTGTGAGGCCGCGCTCTTTTCAGCTTCTTTTTTGGTTAACTTTAAGCTAGATGAGTAACAGAGTAATTAGAGATGAATATTGCCTTAAGCAAAAATAAGGATGATTAAGAATTATTTGAGTTGCGTAAGATGCAAACATGTATTAGCAAAATAATTACTCACGCTCAGTGCCAAATATTACTCAAAATATTTCCTGTGTATCACAGCCTCCAGGTTAGCTTTAGATCGTAGGTTCGCTGCTGTATTTACTCTTTTGTGTGTAGAAATTACCGACTCAGCAGTTAGTAGCTATGTAGCTCAGCACTCTCCGGGGCCCCTTTAGATCCTGAAGGGTCTGGTAGGCGTCAAAGTTCAGAACTGCCATCCATGAGCCATGTCAGCAATGACCATTCAAATCATGCACGCCATATCCATCTGCTTCCAGCGCTCACATTCGCTCTATCTCCAAACAGGTTTCAAACGGCACCCTGATCTCTGTACCCCGTAGGGACACTCAACTGGTACATTAAACACGCCTTACAATGATGTGTCGGCCCCTTAGCCTGAGCTGTATTGATGTTTACTCCTATAGAGGGCAGGGTGCTTTTTGAGCCTGTCTGTCTCTTCTAACCATCCAGCTTTGATACTCTGATATCAACAAAAAAAATTGTATTATTAGTAAAAAAACAAAAAAAACAAAACCAGAATATATATATTCTAAAGGTGCCACTGTGCAGAGAATGAGACTCTGTCACATGATATACTTATATTGTATTCATTGAAAGGGGGATTGGTCGCAGGAGTGGTAGTCTTTCTATTATATTATACTAGTTACCTTTTCTACTTTGATGTGGTCGTGAGGTTGTGTTGTTTTGGTCACATGGGAAGCCTCTTAACAGGAGGGACATACGAGGAGACAGTGGATCACTTGGACGATCTCTCAAGGACTTAAACCTCACCTGACTGGCACCAGAGGCCAGGGCGGCCAGCGGGACACTCAGCACTGCAGCACACACACCTGCATACATTCCAAGTACCCCTACCCAAAATGTTTCTATACCTCTGAGAACATCCTATCCAGCTTAATCCAGTTTGTTCTTTTTGAAAGAAACACCTGAAAGTGTTCATTTTGTGGGAGCCACTCTCAAGAAAATACATTTTGTATGTTGACAGTCAAGTTGTGAAATTTGATTAAAGATCAGATCAAAAACAAGAGGGAGACATATAATTCCAGCTACCTTTGCTATGATTATTGGTCCTCATTGGTATAGAAACATAAGCACACAATTGTAAACATATGAATGGCCACAATTGTATACGCAACACACTCCCCCACCGGGACAGCACATACTTACAGATCCAGCTCGGCCCAGTGCGGTGCAAGAGAGAAGTGTGTCCTGTTATAAGAAAAATCACTGTGTCATATTAAGTGTTTCTCCGGGATAGAACATCCCAAAAAAACTGTTCCTGATGCATCGCTGTTGTGTCGATCCTCTGTGGAACTTCAAGTCTACTGAGCCAGCTAACAAAACGTGGACATCCAGAAGAACTGAAATGTGGATTTAATGAAATAGTTCTGTGACAAAAGACTTGCTCTAAGCACTCTACACTTTGCACTCACGACCAACACACACATACACTGACACAAATAAGGTTACTGTGTGAGGAGGGCTCACTGGGGAGTTTTATGTGCCTGCATGTTTGTGTGTGTCTGTGTGCGTGTCGCGTGCAGTTAGCCGCTCCTCACCCATGCACCTAGTGCCTGCCTGTCCTGCCTTCAGACAGCTCCAGAATCAGCCATGGGGCTTTTTTTTTCCATGATAACCTTCTCTGTTTTGCCATTACCTGATGTGGTCACACTGGGATCTGTTTCAGAGCCAACTGCCCCGACCATTCCTCAGCACATTTAGCCATAAAAGCTAATAGGACTGTTCAGCTGGTTCTTGTGGACTCAAAGCTGCTGTTCATATCTGACTGGGTTTTTTCTTGCGTGAGGCTGACATAAGACTGGTAGAGAAGGCTTAGCAGGATATAGAAACGTCTGTCCAGTCCCTGGTGACACTTGGCCTTGAGAATTAGAGCGACATGGACATCCCAAAATTAGCCTTACAAGAAGAAAATCTATCATCTTGCAACATTTAGGATGTGCCCATAGGGAATTTTGAAACAGCATTCATTACTTGAGGTGACTTAAGAGGTCTTGTCCCTTGTTTTACCAGAAAATATTGTAAATACTCAGAGTAAAAACCAGAGGAATTGGACATAAGCTAAATGTTCTTCTTATTTAAGAATAGAATAGTAACCATATTTTCAATAATCCTTCAGCCTACATTGGCTGGAAGCCTACGCTTCTTGTTTTATATCTACTGTTTCTGCTTCGTATCTTTCCAGAATTTTACATTTGAGGAAGAATATTGATTTAATTGGTCATTGTTTTGTGTCAGGCCTGCACTCGGTGACTGGTGTTAAAACAGTGTGCTGACCATATCTGAGGCCACCACGGCTGAATGACCCAAAACAGATGGATGTTTGACCAGCGTAGAGGGTTTTTCTGTACATTCTGTCATTAGTGCTTCATTTTGATGAGCGAGTAGAAATCATGAAACCGAAACTAGAATGGTACAATATAAGGCACAATTAGATTGCAATCAAAATGTCTGTTTTTAATTGTGTATGAGTTAATTAATGTATGAGTTTAATTGTAGCGAGCCATGCCCCAAAGAGCTGGAATTGTCCATAACTTTAACTAAGCAGGGTTATATGTGTAGTTTGTTGAACATGTTGTAATATTATATTATATTAAATTTTCATGTATATTTGAGAACAGTGAAAGCAACAGAGACAAATCACAGTAGAAAATGTTTTCAGCCATGCCAGCAAAAATAAATGGAAGAGTTTATTAATTTATTAGCAGGATCTGCTAGAAGAGCTTTAAATGCTTTAATGTTCAAAGAACCTTGATTTTCTTGTATTGTGCATTCTTAGAGTAGCTCTGATCAGATATTGTCTGAAAAAACAGATGTTGGTCCTGCCTTTTGAAGGCATCCCTACCCGTAAAGGCCCAGTCTGCTTAACTTAGTCATCTGATTGGCTGAAAACTACGTTATGTGAGGCAACTGTTTGTGGCACAATATCCAAAACTGGCTGTAAAATGCTTAGGTGTTTTACATTGGTGTAGACAAGGACAGGTAAAAAAAAAGCTTGGGCTGTTGAAAAAGTATTGCAGGTATATGAGGTGAAAATGTCTTTGGTTCTTTCTGGACTTTCAACTTTTAACCAACAGACTTTTTACGGAGAGGGAAAACCACAAAATGTGTCATATGTCCTCTTTAATGGATGACACTGTTTGTTAGTTGACTACTTTGATTTGCACCATAGTGTTGCTGTTTTTTTTAGTGAAAAGCCTCAACAAGCATTGGGTGGATTACCGAAACACACACGTATTCATACACCATAACAATAATGGGAATCTTTGGTGGTCCCATCTCACGATCTTCAAAACTGTGTCAAAGATACAGCTATAAAAGAGATGCCAACATGACTGCACACTGTCTATTTTTATAGACGCCAGAGGATGTTTAGAGAATTAGGTTCATACTTTGTCCATAGCTGGCTGTTAACACCTGCTCTACATAGCGGGAGATCCTCTGTGTGAAATCTGTTCTCACAACAGGAGCGATAATGCAGAGTGGAGCCTGGGTACAGCCACAGAAGGAAGAACAGGCTGCCAACAGTTTGCCGCAGAAAAGGAAGTGTTTCCCTTTTGGCACTTCCTACTTCGGTATTGGTGACTTGTTTCTTGTATTGATATCCATACTCAGTGTGGGATGCGTGCGCAATACTGACAAGAAGGTGGAAAGTAAAGAACAGGAGGAAATGTTCTGGAAACCTACATTTAGCCCCTCTGAGGCTCTGTCGTGGATATTCCATCCTTTTTTGGCAGCCGCTTCAGTCTGTCTTACACATAACAGAATACAGGACATGGAATTTTTAAATCGGTGGCAAACGACTGTAACTTAACTTTGTCCATTTCAAACTGACCTGAGAACTGTTAGAAAACAAGAGCCAGACCAAACTCAGGAGAAGTGTTCCAGACATTGGCATTTTATTGGTTGGATTTACTGATTTGTGTTTGCATTTATTCTGAATCAATAGAAGGAGTGCCACATAGAAGCAGAGTAAATGATCCAAATATCTCTCAAAAGGTTTGTTGTACGTGTAGCACTGAGCTGGTAAACAGCTTTTTCTTTCAGGGAGCATGTCTGGCAGGCATTGTAGCAGTTGGCTTGAAGATGAAACAGTTCAGATGCAGATGATGAGTAGGAACCAGCTGTTACTCGGTGTGTCTTTTACGGGTCACACTTTGGTTTGTGGTTCCTTGCAGCCGTGATGAAAGTGAAATATAAACGCCTCAAGTCAAATGTGCAGCTGGAACCTTGAAGTAGCAAGTGCTGGTGGAAATTTCTCAACATTTACCTAAAAGTGTGGCTACAGGTGACGGGTGTAAAAGTTCAATATGTCTTTTTTATCCTTCTCCGGACCTCTGAGCCCCATCATTAGATACATAGTCCTCAACAAACACACACACACACACATGCATGCATGCAGAAACATGCTGGCACTCACATTTGTCTTTCGATACACAGGAACACAAACTGCAGAACATTCACAGCTCACACACGATTACAGACATGTACACACACACATAGCTGCCAGCCAGTTTCACTGTAAACTTAATTATGTAAACCTCCAATTAACAGCAGTCTGACGTGGACACAAGCTGTGAATAAAAGCACACTTTTACTTACATGATATAAATAAGAATATAAATATGAATACCTATATGAAGAATATTATATACAGTATAAAGTAGAAAATAAAGAATCACCTTTTCAAAGTGTCTGTGGTGAGCGTGTTTTGTATTCAGATTCTATTTGTTGAAATGCATCATGTGTTTAATTGATTTTACCTTCTTATTTCAATTATTACAATTTTTTATCAGAAATGCTGCAACACACCTGCATAAACCTGTACAATATTATGAAGAAAATATTTGGAGCACAGTTGGCCCTCTCCCCCTAAACCTGCACACACACAGAGGCACGTTAGATGTGTATCAGCCGTGCTGCGTCAACGCTTCTGAATTGGCGGTCTGATAGATAAAACTTCTGCTTATCTCCACAGCCGCCTCGCAGATGTCCAAATGACAAGAGAGAAAGAAGGCGGGAGGAAGATGAGAGCCGAGAGAGGAAATGGGAAGTTGAACGGAAATGTTAATGAGGTGGCTGGAGGATGTTCCAGATCAGAGGTGTTTGAAGGTGACAAACAGAGGAGCTTGTGGGGGATTGCATGCATATGAAAATATACACATATGCTTGCTTTTTACATCCTACAGACTCCATTTTTTTTCTCAAACTGGGCTGAAAATGTTTTCCTCCAAAGAAAAACATAAACGTATAGACCTAAAATTTTTAGTTCTGCAAGGGTTACTGAAAGGGTTCTCCCACCTCCAATTTATCACTTTCCCCCCTTCATCACGGTGCTTCTCTTCCATTTTTTTTATTGGTTTTGTTCTTTGTAAACTGCATTTTCTCTGAGCGTATCAACACAAGAACTATTCGGATGTTGGAACAATGTCTCAGTAGCATTCGGTTTTTCATAACACGTCTTACCTGCTGGGATTCGAAAGTGTAGAGGGGCAAACGTTTTTCTCAAGCTCTCTTTGATAAACGAATGCGGCTGCCATCCCTGTGTCCTCTCACATGTACGAGTGGGACGCAAAAAGCGCCGACACAAGAAAAAGTGCAGGGTGCACAAAATGGGCATTTGCTGACATAGTCTGGCTCCTAAGCCACACACCTCAAAGCGAAGGCACTGGCCTTGTGGAGCCGATGAGATTACTGAGCAAACTCTCCTGCCCTGGCTCACGTCTGAATGTGTAACAGAGCAGAGCTTTCGTAGGCGTCTTTAAGTCCAACCCGAATTCTGGTTTGAAAATAAAACCACAGAGACAAGTGACGGAAATAGCCGCCTCTCGCTGTGATGTCAGATCTTCATTTTTTTTCATTTTTTTAAGATCTTGATATTTTCTTTTTAATCACAGATTAGTTTTTTTAACAGGAAACACGTCACAGACAGCAGCTTTATGTACTCATAGGTCATACTGATCTCATACGTACTACATGAGTCATCATGAGCACAGATTGAAAATAATTAAATTAACTTATTTTATGTGTATGCATATAGAAAATAACTCAATTTTGCCAATAATTGCCAGTAAATTGCAACTTGTTTGTTTAATCTAGTTCAACATAATCTTTCTATAGATATTTTTCCCCTCTAGGGACAATAAGGGACTCTAAAAATGATATTGAGAGCAATTCTGCGTTTTGAGGAGCAGTGGCGAATTGAGTGGTTTGATGTCGCGGTTACATAGTTTGTATACGCCGTGTGTAGATTCAGATTTTATACACATTTTTTGGATGAAACACAATGGAAGGGTATCAAGAGCGAGTGGGAAGATTTCAGCAGCAAGCTCAGATTCCTCTTATGAATATTCAGAGGTGTGACATCACAGATGGAGTGCCGTTATGGAGATTAAAGTGGATGAGGAGATTACAGAAAAGTCTCTTTGCCTCTCTGGGATTGGCTGCCACTCCACTTTTGTTCCTCTGGACTGCTCCTGCGTGATGTTTTGTCAGACGATCTCCTTCTTTTTCTTTCACGCGGAAGTGCAGAGGGCATCGTCCACGTTCCGCCGTCGCCCACTGGCGCTCGCTGCTGCTCTCCATGATCCTCTTAGCCACTTTCCCCTCTGCCACAATGTTCTGCTCCGAAACTCCTCCCTCCCGTCAGGCAGCGCGGCGCTGTGGTAATTGCTTTCTTCAGCTCCACTGGCCCAATGAGAAAAAAAAAATGTCCTTGTATGCTAATAACTCATAAAAGACACTGAGGATTCCCAGCAGGACACACACATTTAGATTATTTTATGTCATACCACCTAAGGCTATGAAAAGAAAACAACAATCTGTGCCCAGGACTATTTGATGTGACTGCTAACGACTGAAGGAGAGAGGTTTTTACTCGGTGATGGAAAGCTTGCGTGTGGCAAGCATGTGACAAGTACATGCAAATGCAGGCCTCTGCATGCATGTGTAGCCCAGCTGGGCACTGCCACAGCAGTTGTTTGTGAGAGAGGATCTGCGGGACATTTGCTGCCAGCTTGGATGTAGTTATCTATCTATCATCAAATATGCTTGAAGGAATTTCAAAAACTTCTGCCTGATGTTCAGATGTGACACCTTTACATACAACACCAATACAGCTTAAATAAAAGTTGCCTAAATGAAATAGAATGCAAATATTTGGAAATGTCAATAAGAAAGGTATTTTACTGTTCTACCATGTGTGCTATTTTGGAGTAGATGCGTAAGAAGAATTGTAAACTTCTTAGTTGTGTGTCATAAAATATGACATCGGTATAGAGACAGAACATAGGAGAAGAAATGTCGGAAAAGGAGGTTAGAGCTTTATCAGGCAATAAAGGAACCATGATTGAACACGATTCAGCGATATCTCCATCTTATTTGGAACACGTTTACTTAAAATGGACTAATGTAATGTAAAAATATATGTAATTATTGAGTCTGATTGCTCCCTGAGTGCCATGCCATTACAATGGCAAGAAATCCACTGAAACTCTTGGCCTCCACCATTTATCAGTAGTCAAATGTTTCTGGATTGGCATTCGGCCTGAACTCGAGGACGCACGGTATTGGATCGGTGTCAGGCTATTTGGCCAAGTTTTGTGGAAGAAATACGCTGGCCTCTCAGAGGGGAAAACTGTGAGTGAGGAGCGCTCTGAGATGTTACTAACAAGTGCACTCTGTTATGCGCACATATGTGAGCATGCAAGTGTATGCGCCTCGAGAGGAGAAGCACTATGAGCATCTGAGCATGAGGGGGAAAAAAGCCTTGAACTTTTGATTGCTACTCGAACAGAAAAACAAGTCTGACAGAAAACCGATGGAAGGTGGGAAGAAAGAAGGAGAAGAAGGTGGAGAGTGCATGGAATAATGTGTAGGCTTTTCTTTAACCAAGCTTTCAAAGGCCAAATACTAGCCGCTTTAAGTACTTTGTCTGATAATCATTGCAAATATATCAAGAAAAAGGGGTTCTAATATTCAAAGCGAGCAATCATATCTGAACATGTCACGCAAACACGCACATGTGGTCACATATAAAGCTGCGGATGTAGTTGTTTCCAAGCAGCTTTTGGGTTGGCTGAGTCACTAAACATATCCTGCCTCATATCACGACGGGAAGAACATCAGTTTAAAAGAAGCAGCTGTTTTCCTTTCATCCTCTCCCCCTCTTTTTCCTCCTGCGTCTCTCCATCCTCCCACTGCTTTCACAATGGTGCGCTAAGCCAGGGGAAGATAGGGCGAATCCCTCTACTGAGCAGTGCAGGCGGCGGAGGGAGAAAGCGAGCAGGAAGAGGGCTGAGTGCAGAGCAGCCTTCTGCATCTGTCCTCACTCTTCCCTCATTTATCTGAGTCCAACCAATCAGCGCGCCCCCTGCTACCGGTGGCTCCACTTTGGGTACGTGTGTGTGTGCGGTGTCTCCCGTCAGACTCCGTTGTTGTCACATCCCTGCTTCAGACGCTGCTGTGGTTGGTGCTGCAACCGTGATGAGCTAATATGAATAAAAGGAAGAGCTGCACGCCACTGTCATCCCTGTAGTTAGCCAATGAGCTTAGGCCTGCACAAAGATTGGAAATACAGGTAAAACAGTTAGTTTGGCTGTCCCTGTAGGTATGACTAAATCTAAATCATCTTCAGGGCTAACAAGTATAAAAAAATTATATCAATACAGGTATAAATATACCAGGTTCCTTTGCTTTCTTAGGTAGGTTTAGTTGGAAGGCAGCCACTCCCAAAAGCGTGGAAATGTAACACAAGGTCAGGCGTGAGACTGATATCAGTCCTCTCATGGAACTCTCAATGAAGTAACCCAAGAAGTTCCATTCATCTACCAGTCTATCCATCAAACCATCATTCTATCCATTTCTGCCACAGGGGGAGATACTGCAGCATTAGGCTAAGCAGGGACCGGCAGACCCTCTTCTGAGGGAAATTTGTCACATTTCCTGGCCAACTGTGAAGTATAATCATACAAATGAGTCCTTTATCTGCCCCAAGGCTTCCTCCCAGTACCTTTCTGAAACACTTCCCTGATGAGGTGTCCAGAATGCATCCTGATAAGATTCCAAAACCAGCTCGAACGGCTTATTTTGATACTGGAGAGCAGCGATTAAAACCCTCCCAGATGGCTGAGCTCCTTACACTGTACCTATGAGTGAATTTGTAGGAGGATCACTTCAGATGCATCTGCTAGACAACTTTCAGTCACTACTAATAGTGCATAGTCACTTAGGTTGGATCTGGAAGGCCTTACTTCTCAGCTTAGCTCTGTATTCACAACAGACTAGTGCAACAGCTACATCACCAGGATGTCTGTCATTCTATCCTCCATCAGTAAGGATGGGTTGGAGTATAGATAACCCGTGCAATCTAGTTGAATGTTGTAAAACTTTGAGTTTTTTATATGTGTGCCTTTAAAAAATGAGCATGCTGTACATTGGCTATGGTTAGAAGCCAGAATTTAACAAAAAGCTCAATTAGGATTGTGCTTTATCGCCCTCTAGTGGATTATTGAGAGTACATACTAACAGAACTCTTCTCAGCAGCCGGATTGTAACTGATGTGTATTAAGCTGTCAAGAAACCTCAAATTAATTCTGATCCATGGATTTGATAAATGTGCTCTTCCATGTGTTGAATGCCATTCATCGTGACTGCTTAATAGTAGGGCAACTGTTGGCTTGTCAAAGCAATTAGATATTAAATATTTATCTTGGAAAACGTTAAATCTTGAACAGAAGACTTGTAAAGGCGATAATTTTATCTTAATAGGGTATAAATCTGGTGCTGCCAGTGAGTATGCCGAGCATGAGCTCCAACAGGTGCACTGCGTAGAAGGAAGGGATGCTGCATTCAGGGAACCTGATACAAGTGTGTTTTTATGAGTCCAGCAGCAGATTGTGTCGTAAATTGGTGGCGTTTAAACAGTTTTATAGATAATTATGTGCATTATCTTTGTATATGTATTTTCACCCCTTTGGAATATACTTGTGTAACATACTGTTCGGTGTTAGAATGGATAAGAAGGGTTGCTCGCTCGGTGAACAGTATGTTACACGTGTTATGGCAAAAATATCTAGAATCAAAAGGCTGGTAGCAATAAAACAGTATTTTATTTTAAATAAAAAATTCTGTATTGAAATAACAATGTGTACAAAACACGAAGTTGCAGACATAACAGTCCTCCTCAGGAAGCTCTACGCTTGCAAGCATAAAACACACTTTTATTAGTGAAGCACACCGCGAAATCCAAAGCTACTACATATAAATCTATACCAAAAAATCTATATGAAAGCATTTTTATCTGAAAGGATTCAACTGGCTATGCGACTCGTTCCCATGTATTTTTTATTTTAATCCTCTTCCGTTTAAACATAGTAAAACATAGTAAAAGATTGACCCAAACAAGAGCTTCAGAAGTCAGAGTGTGCGGGGGTCCCGTAAACGCAGCGCGACATGGTGCGTGCGCTGTGCTGACGAGCCGTTGCTTGTGGAAACAGCTGGTGGTTTCTGTCCGCGAACTGCTCGGATTGAGAGCGGCAACGCGGCGAATAAAAGTTCAAATTAGACCCGAAACTGACCGAGAACGCTTGGTATAGAGCCACCGCTCCCGTTCCGACAGAAGCCGAGCGATGTCATCCCGCGAACACCACTTTATCGGGCGGTTGTTAATTAACGAGCGCGCGTGTTAGCGTTCGCCACCGGCCGGCGGCTAACGTCGCTAGCTAACTTTCTGCTCTCAGCAGCAAGTGCAACGACAGAAGCTCTGAGCCGCTGCTCGAACGCTGGCAGCCGTTGGTTTTTTTTGCCTGACGGCACAGGAGCGTTTTTTTGTTTTGTTTTGTTTTGTTTTTTTGACTCGGGTTCAACATGACTCACATTCATTATAAATTCTCCTCCAAACTTAGCTACAACACGGTGGTTTTTGACGGCCCGCACATCACGCTGATTGACCTGAAGAGGCAGATCATGGGCAAGGAGAAGCTCCGGGCCGGGGACTGCGACCTGCAGATCACCAACGCCCAGACCAAAGAAGGTAAAAAGAACAACCGGTGTGTGGACTGCTTAGGTTGTGTGTTTTTTTTTCCTCAGCAGTTTGGACTTTAGAAGAACGCACGTGGTCCGGGTTTAACAGCTGTGTGGGGAGAGAGAGGGGGGCTTGCGTCACCACTTTTAAAGTGGACAGGGGTCCAGAAAAGTCAAGCCAGGACAAAAGGCTCTGATGAATGACCCGCATTCCTGCTCCGTTTTACGCTTCGTGCCCTCGATCCAAAAGGCCTGATGGAGGTGGATCGCTCGTTTCGAGTCCGTGCGTGTGCAGGTCTCCCCAGAAAAATGTTGGTTATAAATAGTAAAGGTGGGCCAGCTCATGAACACGCGGCTGAAGGGGAACCGGGCAAACGAAGCGAGCCAAACTAGCCCAGAACAGTGGAATAAAGCCGGAATATAGCACTGTGCAAAAGTATTGAGCCAGTTCCCCAAAAAATAAAACAATTAAACAGGAGGCAGATGTTGTTAATTGGAACGTGTAAAACAAAAATTAATATACAGTTTATATGATCAAATAGTGTGAGAAATCAATATTTACCATCTATATTCTTTATTTCGGCCTCATTTTCAGTCCAGTTCTTGTCTCTTGACAGACCTTGGCCTTTTCTTCTTGTTTAGAACTAAAATGGCCTTCTTGGTAGCTACTTTTCCATTGAGAAATTTCCCTAAGAAACTTAAAAGACCAGATTTGTCTCTCATACTGGACTTTTTATTGTCCCCAATGGAACATATTGTTTATCAGCTGAATTTATTATAATTTCCTTCTTATTTTATGGTCTTTCTGCTCTTTTGTTTTCTGCTTATTCAGTTTCCTCCAACCTTGTTTTTTTGTGTTAACACAGCCTCCCACAGCACTGTTCCATCCCTTTTGTTAGTTGAATTTTATATCCTGAATTTTATATATTTAATTACTCTGCAAATGGTCAAGTACAAAAGGCTGGTAAGAAAACAAGTGGAGGGGGGGACCTAAAAGACCCACATAAATCCAGGAAGAGTGTTACTCAAGATCCCTTAAAAAATAGAAAAATGTCTGCTTTAAAGCAGGTGTGACTCAACGTCTTTGCACAGCACTGTAGGTTGCAAATAAACTTGGCAAAAAGAACGTTGCGGATTAAACGTGATTACCAGTAAGTCACAAGCATCACCCGTAACTGTGTCAGCATCCTGCTGATGAGCTTCGAAATCCATCGTAAGCTGTGTCATGTTTTATTCCCAGAAAGCCCAACCTTGCCTAAAGAAAGAAACGGGTCGTGACAAATTATGTCCAAAGACTTGCAATGTAGGTAAATGAAAACAAAGTGTATTATTTTCCAATCCCATTTAGTCCATGTGTATTGTAGTATTCTTTTTCTCTGACTAGCCTCCTACAAACTCCAGATCCAGTTCTTCAGTCTGACCTCAAATTTAGATTTTATGCAGTGACATCTTTTCTTTCCTTTCTCTGCCACAGAGTACACAACAGATGAAGATCTCATCCCAAAAGGCTCCTCCGTCATCGTCAGGAGAATCCCCATCATTGGTGCCAAGTCCAGCTCGAGTGGCAAGACCCACAACAGGTAAGTGTGTGTTTTGGGGTTTTGAAGCTGTGTTCCTTCACTGTTATTAGTCCTCATAGTCGCAATAGTGGACTCCACCCTGGCACCACCAAGCCTGCTCTTAGTTGGGTAATGTTGCTCTCAGACGACTCGACCAAGAAACTGTTCTCATGCTCAGTTTGGAAGGTGATGGCTGTGAGCATCTGCCTCAGGATCCACAGACACGGATTTAAACGTAGCTGAGATTCAACTTATTGGTCAGACTTGTCTTTTGTAAATGTAGGTTTAATGAATATGCCCAGCTCAGGCCACAGCCTCAGTAAGAGCAGGATTCAGAAATCATGAGGTGGTTTTAAACTGGTTCTACCTGGTAAATTAAGGTTATTTGCAGATGAATGCTTATAATGCATGGGGGTGTCTCAGTTTGGGCTTTTTGGGGTTGTGGATTAAACGTGATTAATGAGCAGGAACGCAGATTTTCGGGTAGAAAGCTTACTGGTAAACAAATGCACAGAGTCTGTCTCTTGGTCCTTTTTGCGTCATTTCCATCCTGTTTTCACAATAGAATAGAGAAGAAGAAATAACTTGTACGGCGTTCTCATGGTAACACGCTCATGAATAACCCCGATTTTAGTGGTGCCTCACAAAGAGCCGGCCATCAGTGGTACTGGCTGGCAGTCACATGACCAGCCCAGTCGGCACCGTGTAGACCAGCACAGAGGATCAAGATTAAACACAGCAAAGAAATGCTGGGGCAGGCCACAGCTTTTCAGTGGAAACGTATTGCAAAGAAAAAGCGCATTCAGTTGGTCATTATGGGTGTTATTTCTGGCGCATTCTTATTTTCTGTATTTGCATTTGGTAAAACAGTTTGAAACATTCATTTGAGCCCATCATTGAGGCTGTGCACCGGAACTGACACAGAATCAAAGTTCAATGCTCATGAAATCATAATTATGATTTATTATACTTCAGGTTGCGTATACCTTTTGTGACATCATAGATGGTGTCACTTTTGTTGCTGTTTTTGTATAAAAAATTGGATTTTCGATGTAGTCCTCCTAAAGTTAAAGAAAGTCCAAAATCGGTTTACTTGTGAGCCCAATATTTGTTCTCTCCTTTCAATAGTGTCTTTAAAAGTAATGTTAGTTTGCATGTTTCACAAAATGGGCCATCTCCAAGTTAATAATAGAGACTGCTAAAGCAACATATTACTTTGGAGGAGTTTCAGAGGCAATATCTGCTCAGACCCAGAAAGGTCACACAGGTTTCTTTTTGTTTCAGTGAGCGATCAGATGGCCAGGTCCACCACAGCTTTGGAGCCAGCAGAGCCGTACGTAGCAACCCGACAGCACCTTGTGTGCACCTCCACAGCACACACACACACGTCAACATAGTGCTTCAAAATCATTCGAGTGTGCAACTCTAAGACACAAATCATGAAAAAATAAGTTTCCCCTGTTCCCAAACATGAAATGTCTGTCAGTTTATGAGATGGGGGGGACATTTGTGCATTTTCATTCAAGCAAAAGTTCTCCACTCGTAAACAAGTGGCTCTCTCACTTGTGAGCCGCAATTGTTAAAGTTCACATCGTCTGTATCTGGGGGAGGTGAGAGTTGCCGGGTGGGTCAGCACCTAACCCTAAAGCTAGCATTATCATGCAGGCCAGCTATTCACAGCAGATAAACCCAACTGTCAGGCTGGGTTTAACATCACCCAGCAGTGTCCCCCTCACAAACTGCCCACCACAAATCATTATTTGAATTCAAACTAAACTGCCACCTCAATTTTACCTTACTCTTTTTATGTGTATTATTTTCAAGCCTTTGAATATTCTCATGAAAATGATAATTTTGGGATTAGAATAATTCCCATGTTTACTGAGAGCAAGTGAAAAATATTATCATAATGATAAGAATGATGCCATATAAAATAATACCAAAGACACTTGTTAGACTTGTTGAAATAGGTTGAACACAAATAATTATGTATAAATGTTCCCTCCTTAAAACTGCATTGTGTTTTTTGTTATTTAATCATTTTTGCCATCCACTTTTGCTTATGGCATAAAAAGAAGCTTCCATGTGCTACAGTGTGAATCGGTGTGCACTGACTTGACCTAATTCTCTCTCTGGTTTCTCAGTAGGCGGTGTCTACCACTCTTCTTAATACTTTGAGTCTGAATTGGACTGCATACACTCTATTCTTTTATTTTCCAATAAAATAATTTGTATAAATCTGAGTTATGTATTTGATTTGTGTTTTCACCACAGATGGAACTCTTTTGATCAATGATTGAAGTCATGGGTTTGCTTTAGCACATTGTGAGAAATAAGGATAATCATGTAAAATAACTACCATCACATCTATACAGTATGCCATTTCTCTTAGTTCAGCTTGAGTGTCCAAGCTAGTAAGTTGTCAGCCTTATATCCTAAGGGCAGGAATAAGAGTTTTATGATCATACAACTGGGAATTTATTAACCATGAATTTGATAAAGAGTCCAGATTTCCTCATATGCTGATTTCAAAGAGAAATGTGTGTATCACCACACGGTCGAGTAATACTGTGAGGTACAGGCTGATGTTGGAGTGCTTCCTTGCTATTCAGATTTCTCACTTTAGAACCCTAAATGGTCTTTTTAAACATGTTGCAATTTATTATTGAAAACCTCATTTCACAACTTAAGAAAGGCTGTTTGTGTAGATGCAGGTAAAACGGTGGTAAGGGAACAATATGGCAGCATTACATCAATCGCTACTGAATCGCTTTTGAAAGCATACGGTGGAGAGCTGAGGCTGACTTATCAACTTATCATCGTTGTCTTTGCGTTTCCTCGGAGGCTTGTTCAAAGTTCAGAGTTTGTTTTCAGGGATTGATATAATGTAAGATGAAGATTTCCATTTCTGAAACAGTTTATGTTTTCCTTCTACCAGATGGATAGCCGCAGTTCCGCCAAAGCCTTATCATTTTTCTCCAAGGTATTCTTCCCTTTCGCTGTTTACATTCATGCTGCTTTAATCTTGTGTGTGATCTGTGATTGAACTCCACTCCTTGTCCGTCACCCTCCCGCCTGTTGCATGCTTGCCTGCACACGTGTAGATCCAGATGGCTAACCTGGCTGACGCTGATGTGTCGGAGGAGGATAAGATCAGAGTAATGATGAATCAGTCGACCTATGACCCCATGAAGTGAGTCGTGTCAAAGTTTCTCTGTGTGGCATTACTGCCGGATTATTCCTCACTACGCTTGCGTTGCACTTTTTCCTCTTTTGTCATGTATCCCCCGTCTCTCCTTCCCTTTATAGTATGAACACAAAGATTGGAACTGTCCTTCCAGACAACTACACCTGTTACCGCTGTGGAAACGGTGGTCACCACATCAGGAACTGTCCAGTAAGTGTGGTAAGTGGGTGTCATCCGGTGTCTCTTCACCCATTAAAGACCCAAGGTGCCCTCTTGATATGGGCACAGGCTTGCCATTTAGATTTTGTCAAACACTTAAGAGAATGTACCCAAATTAATGCAAAGTGAAACAGCTAAAGGCAAAATAAATTTCCCCTGCCGTGCTTTACTGTTGAAATAATGTTTCTACGTTGTTGTTTTTTTGCTTTGAAATCAGTTTTCCTTTGCAGTCATATGTTTACACCATTCATTAAATATAGAAATATTTGTTTAAAATCAGGAGAAAAACTTTGATGGCCCTCCAAGGATAAAGAAGAGCACAGGAATCCCTCGGTCATTCATGGTTGAGGTGGATGATCCCAGTATTAAAGGAGTCATGCTGACTAACTGTGGGCGTTATGCGATTCCTGCCATAGACGCGTAAGTGTGAATCAAGGTGTCCGTGTGTCTTTTAATCAGAAATGAAAGTCAGATATCAGTAAACATTTTCATTTGCTATGTTTTTAAGTCATATACTTACGTCATTCACTGAGAGGGCCACTTAGGAATGACAGCAGAACATGTTTATGCTGGTAAAATAAAGAAAAACATCCGTATCAATTGGGAGTGTTTTTCAGTCACATCATTATATATATATATATATATTTGTTTTTATATTTATATAATATTGTGAAGACTGCTTTTACTGTTGTGCACCCATAGAGAAGCGTATGCTATTGGAAAAAAGGAGAGGCCTCCGTTCATTCCACAGGAGCGACCCAAATCCGAAGGCGATGATGATCCCATACCTGATGAACTCCTCTGTCTGATTTGTCACGACCTGCTGGGCGATGCTGTGGTCATACCCTGCTGTGGAAACAGCTACTGCGATGACTGTGAGGGTCTGACAAACACACACACAGACAAAGCTCCCCTCAGGTGCTCTGCATGAGAAAAGAAGTCATTCTGATCGTCATTTTCCTTGTTATCAGGACCTCTGTCTCTTTCCCTTGTAAAGTTGGTCATTTTTTAAAAATAATTCCACTTATACTTCTGCTGAGTTTCAAAATTTCCTGATCTCACATTAGAAATGAATTCTTTTGTGTCACTCAGGCATTCGGACTGCCTTGCTCGATTCAGAGGATCACGTCTGCCCTACCTGCGGCCAATCGGACGTTTCTCCTGATACCTTGATCGCCAACAAATTTCTCAGACAGGTGACTTGTCAGAGCAATTGAAAATATCCCCAAATCAGAAAAGCCTCTCATCATCCATAATTTTTTTCAGCTTCAGTTAAGAAACTGCCATCTAACTTTTTCTCCAAACACAGGCCATAAACAATTTTAAGAAAGAACAAGGGCAAATGAAAAACCTGAAAAGAAGAACGGGGACATTGCAGTCACAGAATGAAACTCCGACTCAAAGCCCTGCCCCTACTCCTACCCCTACCCCCCCTCAGCCTAGCATGCAGAGCCACATGCAGAAGCCTCTCCAATCAGTCTACAACCAGCAGGTGAAAAACAAATTTATTTGAAAGTTGACTCAATTCTGCCCTTAGTTTCCATTCAGAGTTTCACAACTGCTTTGTGTGATGTGAAGTTCTGAAAACTGTCCTTATAGTTTCAGCAGGTGTCTGCAGAGCAATTTCCTTCTGATTTCTGCTTTATATCCTTGTTGTATTTGCTCTCAAGGACTCTTTCCATCCACAGGCTGCAAAAACAGCGTCCTTATCTCAGGGTCCCGACTTTTCCCTTGTAGCAACAGAGCCTGCCTCTGCTGACAGCCAATCAGTGACATCTAACAAGTAAGGGAACATACCACCAGTCCCACTTAGAGCAGTCATTGCTGCCATTCACTGTGTTTAATTCTAACTATTTACACAAGACTCAAAGTGAGCCTTACTCCTAGAAAAGGCACAATCAGGATGCATCTCACCATGACACTGAGCATTGATATTTATTCAGTCTGAATCATTGGCAAATTTTTTATTCATTAAAAGCAATTCTACAGTCTATCAGTTTTGCATAGCAATAATTACTTTGTGACATTTTTCTTTTTAAAGTAAAACAGGTTGGTCATGTTTGTTGGCATTGCTGTCAAGAGGACCAACAAATAAATTAAAGAATTTTGTAACATCAGAGCTACAAATGTAGGGATAAAAAACTTATCTTCTGCTGAGAACTTCATAGAACTTATTACCAGCCACAAAATATCAGGGTGAATATTGTGACATTAGGGGACACCATTGTGATTAAATAATGTATTAGGCCGTTGGGATCAAAGTAACCTGAATAAATGGCAAGGTGATTACAACACGATCCAGTTGTGATGCTCGTATGCCTGCTGTAAGGCTCCTTTGTGATGGACTGAACCCAACAACAGACCTTTTAGAGGCTTTAGTCCAGAGTGTGCATTGACAACTTTAGGCTTTAAGATCTATACCGAAAACGCTTCACGTTCCCAAATATAAAAGTCAAAAGGTTTCTCAAACAGCTAAAGGAACAAAACAGGAGAAAAGGTGGACAGGCCGTAACACTTCACTTCTTTGGGATTTGTATGTTGTGGCTGAACGGTGTCCGTTGAGGCCTCTGTAGGAACTTTTGCCGCCATGTTAAATGAACTCGATGTGACGCTTGTGTCGTTTACGCAGTGAGGCTGAAGGAAAGACAGACGGTGACTCAGCAGCTGCTGCCCCGTCAGTGTTGGGTGCCAACAAAGACCCCCCCAGCGCTCCATCACAGCTGATACCAGTGGTGAGCGGGATCGCACACAGTACAAAGACACACCAACAGTCTGCAGCATGTAAACATTTTGTGGCACTTTTGTCTGTTCAGGTAAACCATGCTCAAAGGGAAGAGCTACCTCAGACACTCAGTGAGAATCAGAAGCATTTCTCCTCAGGTGAGGAGCTTTGAAACACCACTGTTTGCTCTCCCTCCTGTATTCTATTCCGTACTGTTCTCTATATTACATTTCTTTTAAAATAAAAGTAAATATAAGATGCACGGCCTGTCAGAAAGAAAAGACAAATATCACAGACAGTAATATTTACTTGGTCTTTTTTGCCAGGCAGTGTATGTAGCAGCCTTATCTATAAAAGGGGGTAATAAGTCTTGAGTTTTGAACACATGCATTTTCTTTGATAACACAGATTCAACCCTGAAACTGCCTGAATCATCAGCCCCATGGGAAAGGTATGTGACCTTTGTGTGTGTGTGTACAGTTATTGGTCTGTATTTCATGCCATAGACTAGCTTTGAGTCTGATGTCTCTCTCTCTTGTTGGATCCTGCCTACAGCTCCTCCTCTGCAGGTTGTCCCACTGGTGGCTTGACTGAATCTACCACCCCTCAGCCCCTTGCCTCCTCCTCATCATCCTTATCTTCATACTCAGCTACGCCTTCACCTCTCTTTCCCTCCCCCTTTTTTCACACACTAATCCCAACTCACCAGCCTAACAACAGCTACTCCCCTGGATACCCAGCAATGACTCCCAACTGGATGCACAACCCCCAAGGTGGCCCCATCCCATCCCTCTGCTCCTCTACCTCCACGTCCTCAATCCCTGTCCTCATGCCCAAGGAATGGCACAGGCCTCAGATAAAGAAAAAAGAAAGGTAAAGGAAACATTTGACGCTCAATCAGATGTAACACGAAGTTCAATTTTTTATTTTTTTTTATCCGGTCATCAGAAAAACTCATCTGGTCCCAGTTTGATTTTAAGATTAGATAGATACAACCTCAGATGATCAACAACATGTGACTTATTTCACCGAGTCATAACATGTTTCACAAAAACCAAGGCAAAATACATAAGCAACATGAGAAAAAGTAAGAGTGCCCTCACTTCTTCCATAAAAGTTACAAATAGAAGTCACAGCAAGGTGCTGCTGACTCAGCATCTGAAGTTGGAGGCACTTTTTATCAAAGCGGTTATTTCAGCAGTTTACTGGTTTTAACGTTCTACAGAGATAGAAAAACATTCCCAAACATCTTCCTCCACAGAGGAAAGAAGTTCTTTAACTTGAGGCTGGTAAGGGAGGTTTTACAGACTGTTGAGTGGGATGTGCCTAAATCTCCTCTCTCTGTCTCTCAGCTCTCTTCACAGACATTCCTCCTCTCATTCCAAATCCAAGTCCTCGCGCTCCTACTCTCGCTCATCAAGTCGCTCTGGTTCTCGTTCCCGGTCCAGGTCAAGGTATTCTGTCCCCCTGTGAAGTTGAATGTTTATTTTTGCTATATGACACATGGAGCATGTTTAAAACTTTAGTTTTAAAGTTAAAAAACACTACACTTTTACATTTTCTTTTTTTCATGGACATGTTTGAAGATGCATGAAGATGTGTGCGGCGGCACGTGACTAAAGAACAGTTTAATTTACTTATTTTTTCTTCTTTGTTCAGATCCCGCCCCTTTTACTCCAGTCACAGACAAGTCAGCTCCCGCTCTCATAACCCCAGCTGTAGTTATGGCTACAAACGGCCTCCCTCTACCACACCATCCTCATCTTCTTCACCTCAGGGTGGCTACCATTCCAGATCCAAGTCATCTGCAGACAACTGGAAAAGCCGCCATCCCAGCAGGAAGTCGGCTCCCAGCAGCCACAGCTCCAGGACGCGCAGGGAGCATCTCTCAGGGAAGGAAACGGGAAGCTCATCGAACGCTCAGTGCTCGAGCAGTGTCAGCAGCTTGGAGCTGGACCGGCAACGCTACCTGCAGTGGAAGAAGGAGTATCACGAATGGTACGAGAAATATTACAGCAGCTACATCAGCCAGTTCCAGCACATGCATCTCCCCCCTCCTCCATATCCTGAAGATTTATTCAACCCAAAGCAAGGCTCTGCCACACTGGACATCAGCTCGCTTTCGTCTGATTCACCTGTTTACAGTCGCTCCTCCCCTACTGAATCCTCCAGTGACGGTCACTCCACGCCCTCTCACCCCTCTAGTGACAGCAGTTCCTCTTCTTCTTATAAACCCTACGACGGCCACTATCCACCGTCCCACTCATCCAGTCATGGCGGCGCCATGCTGCCTGAAGACGGAGCTCAACCAAGGGAATTTCCAGGGAAGTCGGTGGCGAGGTACAGCTGTCTGCCAGCTACGCAGAGCAGAAGAGATGAGGAACTAAATCCAAAGGAAGAGAAAGTAGACAAGAAGCAACTAATTCTAAAGAGTACTGACGAATTAGGCTCCTTGGAGCTGCAGGGAAAAAAGAGAATGGAACTAGATGGAGGAGCAGATAATTCACAATCCACTGAGTCAGCAGACACTATAAATGTCAGCAGTGCCAACAGGAAGGAGCCCAACAGTGAACCAAGTGTCTGCAAGCACGATACCGCAGTAAGGCACAAAGCATCTGTCAGCGCTGCTAGGCAGTCAGCCCCACCCCTCCTGAAACCAGACAAACCTCTGGAGAAAGACTTGAAAAGAAAATCTGAGGTAGAAATGGATTTAGAAAAGGAGCAAGAGTGGAAGAAAGGCAAAGATTCTGGCTCAAAGGAAGAAGTAGACAGGCGGCGCAAAATAAAGCCCAGTAAACAGCCAGACAAGTTAGACTCACACAAAGGAGAGCAGCCTGGAGGCAGCAGAGCTCCCGACTCAAGATCAGATAAGAACAGAAAGAGAAAAGGGGAGGACTCACGGAGAAGTGAGAGAGAGAGTAACCTTACTGTTAAACCTCAAAGCAGCAAGTGCCCTAAAACTGAAAGTTCAGAACAACCTCAAAGACGAGAAAGTGAGTCCCTGAAACCGCTTGACAGAAAGAAACTGAAAACAGAGAAGAAGGAAGAGAGAAGAACCTGGCCAGAGGGAGACCAGGTGGGAGACATCTGGGAAGGAGGAATAAAGGTGATACCGCAGAAGAGGATAAGCATCAACATAAACCTGGACGTGAAAAGGAATGACAAAACAGATCTACAGCACTCGTCAGATTTACAGACCTGCACACAGGAAATCAAACAGGAGAGTGATATCGGAGAGGAAAAATTAACCGAATCCACCTCAGAAATACAAATGGAAGAAAAGAATGCACCCAACCAGGAAAATATGTCAGAGGACAGAATAAAAGCTGATGACAAAGAGGAAAGACAGCTATGCAGCAAAGCTGCCCTTGAAGATGCCGGGGGAGATTTGGGGAAGAGAGTTGCAAGAGAGGAAGAACAGGATGGAATGAGTAAAGACGAGGGGATGGAGGAGTTGGACTTATGGCACTGTGCGCTCAAAGCCGGGGAGGAGGAGGAGGACAGTATCGCCAGAAAGGAAGGACCAGCAGAAGAAATGGAGGAATTAAAAGCTAACGGTAAAAACCATGAGATGGCTGAGTTGGTCCAAACTTCTACGAATAAGAAAGATGAGAACGAGGTCTCCTGCAGAGACGAGACTTCTGAGCCACAGAGGGAAGAGCACGGCACAGGAAGGTCCAGCTCACAGAGGAGCAGAGACCCCCATGATGGCCGCCAAACGCCGGGCGATGGCAGGTCAGATTGCTACTGGGGATTTTTATTTCTAACTGGGAAAAACACTTGTAGTAGTAGTAGTTGTTCAGACTTTTAAAAAAAAAAATGTATTGCTGCCTTTTGATCCACTCTGTCAACATGATCCCACTCTGCTTCAGTAATGTTGACCTGTTGCCTCCGATTTCCTTTCCAGTACCATTTCCTCCTCACCTCTTTTGACACCCAGTGTCCTTATGAGACCCAACCTATTCATAACAGAACGCACACTCTCTTATGTGAGAGTTTGCGTTCTTATGAGTAGGTTTTTTTAATCACTTTCCATTCAACGCCAATGCTTAGACTTTATACTGAAAAATTGGACTCTAAAGACTTTAAAGAAGCACATTAGATTTCCTTATAAACTGACTCACATTGGTTTATCTTTTGACACTTATTTTTATTATTGAATGATCAGCGGGTCAGCGTCCCTCATCTAAAAAAAAAAAGGAATAAAGTAAGGAAATAAATAAAAAAGACTGGACTGAAAATAAATGAAAAAGCAGCAAATATTCCAATAAAAACCTTAGAAAAGGTGAAGAAGCAAGTACGAAAGATCACTGTTTGAAGCACACCATAAAGATATATAAGGGTGGCTCGATCTGCCACTGCAGGCCTTAAACATCCTCTGTTTGTGTTAGGTCAAACAGTAAAGAAGCTTAATTTCATTGGGATATTTTTGGTTCAAGAGATCTTTTCTGGAATAGTTTGTCAGAATATTTCAAGTTTTTGTCACAATTAGGCAATTTTATCAAATGATAGACTGTCATTTCTGGGAGCCAAACAACATTTCAGGTGCCACAGATAGCAATTAGATTTTTTTTTAATGGAGTCAATGTGAATTTCTTTTCATCTATGTTTTTACATACTTCTCCCAGTATCCAAATGGTGGACAGTGAGGAGATTCAGAGGAGGACGACAGCAGGGACAGCTCTGCAGGAAGCAGCTGAAGGCTCGGAGAACAAGCTGATAGTCATGCAGGTGAGTCCATCTACGAACATCTACACATCCATCCATTTTGAAGTTGTGAAATTTGAATTCCAAACATGACAAGGTTGAAGGTGAGACATTCTTTAGATGATTATTTTAAGACAGCTTTTCATTTTCTTTTCTTTTTTTTGCCTGTGGTTCGCTTGTAAGTACTGAATGCAAACGGCCAAAGATCTGCCATATGATGAAATAACCTCTGTTGTCTCTGTGTGACTGTTTTTCAGCCCAATCTCTTTGTAGGCCTGTTCACGGGTTATGATTGATGTTTAGTTTGAAGGACAGTGAGGGCCATGGTAAGACCGTCGGTGTGCGTTTGTTAAACAGTCAGTTTAAAGGTGTGTTTGGGTTCCCAATCCTGTTTTGGAAGTCACCTTTCCTCCTTCTGGTAAAGCATTCAGAATGAGATGCTGAGCCTAAAGTTTGGGACATTACATCCAGAAAGTTTTTTTTTCTGTTTTTTTTATCATCATTCCAGGGAACATGATTACTAGATTGTATCCGTCATTTTTGTATTTTGAAGTAGCAGGGAAGACTTTTAAAGGTCTGCAGGAGTAAAGTTTCTATATGTCTGACGGTCCTATGTGCCAAAAATGTTCCTTATACTTTAGAAATCAGGTTGCCCGCCTGTTTACATCCTTTTCTTAAATAGGTTTTGAGCTTTCAACCTAAAAATAGTTCCCAGCTATTTTTTTTTATATGGACATTATATATTTTAGTCTTGGATAGATCACAGCCGAAGACTTTGGCATCTCGTCACCTTTCCCCTGACTTTGAACTAGATTTAGCCCCAAAAAAAGTCATGAGCTCTGAAGCCCTGAAGGTATGTGGGAGATCAGATCCGGAGAAGGACATTTTTAACTGTCTTCTGTTTCTTCTTTCCTTTTCCTTGTACCTAGTTTTGTTTGTAAAACAAAATGAATAAAACACTCATCTTGTCACTCATGATGCTCAAATCTTCTTATATTTGTTGTGACCTTCGTAACGTTTGGAAAACTGCATGCTCTGAGTCACCTGTAACCTCTTTCTCAGATGCTTTGCTCCAAATCAGAGAATAATGAAGAAGAAAGGGATCAAGGAAACACCAGAGTTGATACTGACACCCTGGCTCTGTCTCATCCATCAGTGATGCAGACCGGCAGAGGAGCAGCGGGAGAAAATCAGCAACAGGGACACAGGTCAATGGAGGAGGAGGCAGAAAGGGACAGAGGGATGGCGAGAGGGAGAGACGAGGAGAGAGGGAGGCGCTCCTCTTCCTCCAGGTCCCTCTCCAGCGGGGCTCCCTCTGGTGGCAGAGACAGGACTGACAGAGACAGGGAGACGAGGACGGGGAGGGACCGGGGCAGACGGGGAGAGAGCGAGAGACAGAGAGAGACCAAAAGATCAACGCAAGGAAGAAGAGATGAAGAGAGGAGGGGAGACTGGGAGCGCAGCAAAACCGCCTCGGTGCAAAAGAAAGAGCTCCCCTCCTCCTCTCACTCCTCCTCGTCACAAGACACAGAGAGACCGGGCTGGCAACCAAGGGGCAGCCGGAGTTCCTCTCAGTCCCTCTGGAAATCCTCCAGGGGCGGCAGCGAGATAAACAGATCATCCAACTGGGCTGATCAGAATCCCCCCAGCACGCTCAGAGATCTGTCCCAGGACTCCAAAAGTAAAGAGAAAGATCTCCTCTCTCACTGTGGTAATCACCAGGGCTACAGGGAGAAAGACAGACCTGCACAGACTCCCTACAAACCACCCTCCCTCTTCCACAACCACGGTCAGGACAGAAGCCCGCTCCCCTTTGGGCCCTCAGGAGGCCCTCAGTGGGGGGGGGCTCCTGATTGGGGATTAATGCGAGGCAAAAGTCAAGACGAAAACAGGGCTGGGAAAGGAAAGTGGGAGTTAGAGAAGGTGCTCAAAGCCGAGAAGGAGGGCGAAGAGGAGAGACACAATCCGGAGGCGTCAGGTAGACGAGGGGGGGGGGGGCGGGGGGGGGGGGAGGGCCATAAACCGGGGGGGGGGGGGGGGGGGGGGGGGGGGGGCGGGGGGGGGGGTGAGGCCCATAAACCCGAGGGGAGACGGAGACCTAGCGGCAGCAGTGTGGGCTCGTCAGCAAGCCACGAGAAGAGCAAAGATGACAAGAGAGAAGAGGAGAAGGAGAAGAAACACAAAAAAGAGAAGAGACAGGCCACCCCAGAGCTGCAGGAAGGAGACCAAAGACGACAGAAGAAGTGGGAGAGCAGCAGAGATTAAGCTCAGGAGGAGAGACCAGCGGCCGATGGTGATAAGTCCTGCCTAGTTATGTTACCAGCCGAGAAAAAAGAGGTTTACTTGAATGCTGTTTTTCCTTTCTTTGACCAAAAAGTGCCTGGATTTATTTTGTTGGCTTCTATTTTTTCCCTCTCCATAACAAGGGTACTTTTTGTATCATGTCAATATCCGTCATATCTAACGCTCATAAGCAAATTGTGAAGGGAAAGCACTTTATGAGAGGAAAAGTTGATTCTGAAAAAGTGAATGCGAATGAAATCGGTTCTCTGAACTCTTGTGAGTGACTTTAAGTTAGATGAATTTGCACACGCTCGCTATTTGCTCACAACTACCAGCTTCTTCGATTCATGTCAACTCATACTTTAATGTTACAACTCAAATGAGGGGGTCGTTACTTTCTCTGACCAGAAGTGAGTCAGGATTTTGATTCAGTCTCACAAAGGGGTGCCTATAGAGGATTATTTAGAAGAGACTGTGATTATTTCACCAGATACTGTGAATATTTTTGATTTCGAGATTTGTGCTGCATTCTGTTTTTCTTTTTGTAAGCGTTTAAAATAAGAAAAAAGCTGCTGGATGGATTGATAATTAAGCAGAAAATAATTTATTCTTTCCTGTCTTTTTGAGGAAATAAAAGGAACCGTACATGAAATGTGTGCCAGTGTTTTTGTTTTTTTTGTCTTTGGGGAATATTTCAGTGTTGACATATATTATCAGCATGGCTTATAAGATCAGAGCATTTGTGTTTATCATGCTTTAGAAAAACTCTTAAAATCATTATTTTATTTGCAAATGTTTCTGAGAAACTATGTCCATCATCTCCCAACATCAGTTCAGGGTTAACAAAGCTGACGTGTTAACAAACCGTTCACAGATAATGGATCACCTAAACGTCAAACATTCCAGGTGACCAAATAATTGATTCTTTATGAACACGTGGCTTCGTCCACTCGATAAAACAATAGATCCAACAAAAGTAAATCTGATGTTGCAAGATGCGTTTGTGTGTGACTTTGAGATGTCATTTATTTGGAAACAACCCTGGCAAAATCAGTCTAAAAAGGAAAAGCTGCCATCACGCAAAATGGCCTCTGTGACAGTGTTCAAAGAAGCCCAAACTGCCTTTTTAAATGACTCCACTTGTACACCTTAACTTGTTCTTCCAAATGTTCCAAATAACTTGTGTAGTACCATCAGCCCCCCCCCCGTCTGACGTCTGTCTAATAGCCTTTGTGCTAGGTAAGAACTCCCACGCTCAGCACAGCTATATTGTTCTACTTTAACCTTTTCTTTTTGTTTGCTTCAAAGAGTACCATAAACATGGAACAATAAAGCTGTTCAAGCGGAACAAAGACATGCACTCGCCGCCTGTTTCCAGACAGGTATTGCATTGTGTGTTTTTTTTTTGTGTTACAACAAACATGAAAGGCCTGTTCACCATGGTGGCCGTCTCCTGGCCTGGATCAGTTTGGCCTCGGTGTGCGCCTGTATGTGGATGCTTGGAAGTGCATCCAGGGTTTTTCCTGCGTCATTAACTCAGCACGAGGAAGACGTGGCAGAGATCCAGCCTCTCTTGTCTTTCTCTCTTGTCTTCTCTTGTGTTTTCCTGCTGGGAGAGTAATCGCTCAATGTTGTGCCAAGGCATGCTGGGATTAAACGGGGGCGATCTCGTGGGCGTGGGATGCCCGGCTTGGCTCGACTCCAAACCCCTTTGATGGAGGGATGCAGGGACATGGCATCTGTACCACCTTTATGGGAAAACCCAACGTCCCGGGCTCCAAGAGCAATGTTTGCATCAGACACTGAAACGCTTCACCACAATCGATTTGTGTTATATTGTGTGTATGTCTGGCAAATATGGCAGACAGACAGTAGTAAAATATTTCTGTATACGGCAGACAACCTGGTACCCAACAAAAAAAATAATGCAGTGACAGTGGGACAGATGAACACAGACTGAGTGTGTGTCCAAACAGTCAAACAGACCAATACAGAAGAGCGAATGGAGACACAACAGACGTCAAAAAGGGATGGCGGGTGTAAATGTTGGAGACACCAGCACACAAAACAGACATCAGGCTACGTGAGGCATCCTACTAGACTCACACAGAGACCCAGGCAGGCAGACAGGTGGACCCTGTAGCCATCAGGAGCAGCATCCCTCCCGCTCTCCCTGTGTGGGGGGGAATCACAGACCAGGTACGATTATTATTTTGTCTTTTTTGAGATTCACTTTTCGGGGTCCTGGACTTTTCCGTCGTCCTCAGTTTAGCCTTCTCCTTCTTTGTTTTGGCTCCGTGTCTTTGGTCTGCGCTCCCTCCTTTGTGCCCGTGCTGAGTGTCTCCGTCTCAGGGCGCGCTGCCAGCTCTGCCAGATGAAGACCAGACTGTGTGTCCTTGGATGTGTGTGTGTGTGTGTGTGTGTGTGTGTGTGCTGGGATACGCGGATGGGCTTGTTTGGGGTTTGGAGGCAGCTGCGAACACTTGTTTGGGGTGTTTGGGGCGTCACACACTCGTGGTTATTGAGTGAAGGACCCTCTGCCAGTGAGTACGTATGTAATACTTGCACAGTGTAGCGTGATTCTGTCATCTCAGACGGGGACCGCCTTTGAAGTCCCTCTCACTGCAGCCTTGCTCTCATTTTTCACGATTTCCTTGCTTTTGTGATGTTGCCTTGCATGTTGCTGTAGCATGAAAAACAGCAGGGAGAAGAATGTGAAAAAAATCAATGTATTCAACAGAAATAAGGACTTTATTTTGTTTTGGAGTCATTCAAACTGAGTCTGTTAGAAATAAGCTTAAAAAATCTGTGATACGCTGTAGTACACTGTACAGAACATTTAACAGAACTGCACTTATACTTTACTTTAGGATGATTTATATGTTATACCAAGCCCTTTTTTAAAAATGTTGTGTAAATGTTCTTGACAGCTTTATCTTTGAGATAGTTTGAGAATTCTACACTGCTGTGTTTACTTTATACAACAATAATTAAGATTAAACTGGTGCTTTCAACCACTGGGGATTTTTCCAGATCGTAGTTCTAACATTGTTCCTTTCAACTAAAAAGCTCAAAGGCAGTTATATGCAGATCAGAATTATTTTTTTTCTTTGTTCCTTTTGCTTTAATTGCCTGATGAAAAAAGGCTAATTCAGGGATTTGAATGGATACATGAGAACCCACAGTGTGAATTGTGTCAAAAAGGGTGGAATATGAGGGTTATTTTTTCTGTTCAGGACTTTTAGGGCAGGCTTAAAATCCCAGTTTTGAGTATATTCGGGGAGCAAAAACAGACACCCGCTGAATATTTTAACACCATGAATAGACCTACTGCAGAGCGTTAGCCTCGACTTGATTCTCAATGCCAACAGTTTCACCCTCATCACTGAAATGTATCATCTCTGGATGAAAAAACTAAATTACTTAAATTGCTTGGTGAAATTTCATAGTAATCACATGCTGTGAACAAGAAAACAGAATTGATCGTCAACTGTAGGGTTTCCAATCACCACAAGCACCCGCATTATTTTTTAATTGATCGTTTTTCTGAACTTTTACTCCATCTTTATCCGCTTATGATGTGCACATAGTAGCAACATATGCAGTTTACTTTTGCCTTTGTGAAGTTTTATCCATTTGTGACCAACTCACTTACTTTTATTTAATCAGGAGGGTTATAGGTATTTTTAATAAAAAGAAAATGTCTAAAAATATCCAGCAATGACATTGTAGTGCGAAATCAATTCCACATCATAGTCAGTATGAAAAAAGAAATGTATTTTAAATGAAAAAACCTGCAGACTTTAATAAACCCGAGGAGATGACTCTCTAAAGTTGTCAGACGAGCTATTCCAGGACGTGGCAAACACAAACAAGCAGTCAGTTAATTATTGGATGAGATTTCCCTGGCAACATCAATGGATGCTCTAGGAGTGAGCTGGAGCTGGACCAATCAGAACATCCCAGTTCAAAACATTGACAAAGCAGTTCAATTGCTTCCATCTCGGAGGAGCCTGGAATGATATTCTGCATTTGTGGCCCTTTGCATGTCACGTTTGCTCTTTCTCATCCGAGGCCATCCACTGACCACGCATGTGTTTAGTTTCCATTTTGGTTCCCACGCGACATGAGTAACATGAGACATAGAAAAAACATCCACGGCGCAAACAATAATATGAAAGGACGTGACAAACCAAGTGAAAGCAAGTCCTTTTGACTGGTAATGCAGATTTCTCAATGTTGTGCTTGAAAAACAATTTTTTCTTGTAAATTTGCTTGGAAGTGCTGTTATCAGCTTCATAAAGCTGCATTTGGCTTCTAACTCTTGATGCCTCTTTCTGTAAAGCAACGTCAGCAGTCATTTGAAAGACAGTCATTTTCTTAAGAGCTGCAGATGGCAAAACTTGCTCTGTGATACTTTTGGATTCCTTGCAGATTTATTTTTAGCATTAAAGGTTTCTCTCATCTTGGACATAGGTATCCTGGTTTAACAAGCTCTTGTGGAATATTTGTGGTTAAACTCGCCAAAATTGCGAAATCCAATCCCTGGAGAAGATTTCTGGTTTAAAAAAAGAGCTGGTCACTTCTTTTTTTCCTATAAAGTACATTCTTAATGTGCAGATAACAGATAAACACACACACACATTGATGGTGTTGGTGCCGTTACAGTATATTAACAGTATTTGGGTTTGGAACAAACACTACTGAAAATGTGTCCAACACTTTGAATTGTGCTCATTCCTGGGAGGAAGCAAAAGTCTGTTGTTCGGCAGATGTTTCCCCGCCAGTGATGGAATGTGTGTTTGTATTTATATGTGTGTGCGGCAGCATATGCGATCAAGTACATTCAAACCAGCCCCTGCTTTTGTGTTTCTTAATCCTGTGTGGTATTTAGCATTTGCTATGTGTCTCGACAACATGCGCCCCCACTGTGTCCCCCTCTGTGAGCGTGTGTGTGTGTGTGTGTGTGTGCACCCGGGCTC